CGAAAGCATTTGAGTCTGGGTGCTCGAGGCAAGAACCAAGCCATCATAAGGCAGGCAGCCTGACCAGGTCCAAATTTGCTGCCGACGACTTTCTTGTTTGTTGGTAAACCAGGAACAAGCCGAATCCAAAAAGCAGGAAACCAGTTGTCATAAATTAATTGTCCAATTATATATGTGTGCTTGAAATCCACAAATGACAGCAGCAATAGACACATCAAGTCTTCCAAGTCGATGAGGTATCCAGCTGCGTGAGGGCCAGCTGGGCAATTCGGCTCACCTAAAGCCTGTCTTCTCTTTGAAGAAATGTTATCAATTGCGTTGAGGGACCAACTGACCAAATCTATAGCAGAATTATGATTTGGAAGATTTGTAGAAGAGAGGCTCTAAAGCAGTTTCACAGACAGTACAGGGCAAAGTAAAGCGGAGAGGGAGAGGAGGAGAATGCGTCCGCCCTTGACAAGAGCAAGTGTTGATAAACTGTAGAGGTACATCACATGATCATTTTATAAAGGTTTTATTAAAGTCTGTTCAGCTAACAGACAGACACACAGGTAAAAACCTTATAAAGCAATAAAATTAAAAGTCTGACCCACAACTCTATGTGTACATATTTCCTATGCAAGACTGGGGAAGTTTTTTGAGTATATTTCTGTACAGTATTGAAGTTTTATTAATCTTAAGGTGAGAAGCTCACAGTTAACACTTACCATAGTAGTAGAGACGTAGTGAAAAGTTCCTCAGTTACACTGATTTTATATGAATTTGAGATTTGAGACACTCTGAGGAGGACGGGGCTTCAGTTGCCTAAAAATGTAAGTGTGAGTTGGACTGTGACGCAGCTCCCTACAGCCGAACTGACAGGTCTGATGAGCGTTTGGAAGCTCTCAGCACCACGGACAACTCGTTTAGCCTCCCTCTTTCTCCCTGACTCTCCACCTCAAGGGGGGACACTGTGACACCCAGCCAAATGTCTGCTCTGCCTGAGTTAACAACGACTTCACCCCCTGGATGTCCTCGGTCAGTGGCGCCACTCTCTTCCGTCTCCAACAAAGAGAACTTTGCTGCTGCTCTCTCTCTGTCCTTCACACCAACTCAAACGATGGAAAAAGTTTTTTATTGATCCTCAGGGAAGGACTAGCTAAAATATTCTCTTGCAGATATCATTCTTTGTCATCCTGGGCTAATAAAGCACAAGTGTGCACTGAAAAAAATAAAATGGAGTTTTTAACACACGCTTGTAACTCGTTGTTTTTGGCTTTTTTCTTACTAAGAAATCCTGATGGTAAAATGTAGCTTTTGTTCATTTCCATGCCGTCGTGGTTCCACTGGTGTTTCAGCGGGACGAGCCTTTTCACAGAGTTCTTGGAGTCTGGCCAGGATGAGAATGGGAAGGCTGGTGCTTAATTCCAGCAGGCGTCCCATAATTTGATTCTTCTATTTGCATATGCTGGTGGTTTTCTAAAGGGGAGACTTCTGCGGCGCATTGAAGACTAAAAAAGACGATTTAATCCTAGAAGGCCGAGTATATTTTTAGTTGCATTATCGTGTGAATCGAACGAAACAAAATGTGTTTATGGTGTGAATTTAAACAATACAAGTTGATTTTTTTTTTTTTTGTTGTTGCTATTGTGCTTTTTACAGATTGTTTTTTCCATGGTCAGATGGATTTGTGGTTGTTGCGCCTGAACAATGCTGTAAACAGCAGAAATGTGTGGATTGCCTTTTGAAAGGTCATCACAAGATGGATTGGAAAGAAAAAGGAGAAGGTGTAACCTTTTACCTCACTGCGCTGTATAACAAACCCAAGCCACTTAAGTGAAAGCTGGAGCATTTACCTACAGCCCCTTTTTTATTTCTAGGGGTTTTGAGGGATCAATGATTGATTCATGAATGTTCTTTTTGGTGACGTTGACCAATAAAAAATCAAAACAGTTGAACAGAGAGCTGATGTCTGAGGTGTATGACTTGAGTTGTACATGTACACGCTGAGCCCTACAACAAAACCGATACTCAAAATAGCAGTAAAAAACAAGAAGTAACAAAAAATGTGTTCGTAAAACACCAAAGCCAAAATAAAAACTGAGGATTACATTGCATGAGACTGAGCATAACAGCATTTTCAATTCAATTCAGTTTATTTATATAGCACCAAATCACAACAGAAGTTGTCTCAGGGCACTGAACAGAAACATTCACATACATAAAAAATCAGTTAATAATATTTATCTAAGGAGCCAGCAAATTGCTTCAAGTTTTCACTTTGTTGCATTCTCCCGTCCTAAGCGAGCACAGATGCAACAGTGGAAAGGAAAAACTCCCTCGTAACCAGAAGAAACCTCTATCAAAACCAGGCTCAGGACAAGAAGCCATCCGCCCCGACCAGCCGGGTCCGAGAGGACAGGAAGGAGAAACGAACACACAACGGCCAGGACGGAGTCCATCAGGTCATTATCTAGTAGAAAAGACAGAAATCACTTGTTAGGAAAGAATAATTACAAACGCAAACTATTCATTTATTTGTAACTATTTGTTTGATGAAATGAGGGCAATTTGTCCTCCAGTAGTCTAAGGTTATAGAAGCATAGGATAAGGAATAGGTCAGAAAACCAAGCCGACTAACTATAGGATTTATCAAAAAGGAAATCTTCAGCCCAGTCTTAAAACTGGACAATGGATTTTTAACATTTATAGAATAAAATTGCTGCAACCAACGCAATGCAAGAAGCCGGCACACACTCAACAATGTCAGCTGTGAGAGACTACCATAAATTAAGTGTAATAACATAAATATCCTGTCAGTTTTTGAATCTGTTAGGTAATGTTTATTTTTAGTTCAGTCATTTTATTTAATTAAACATTACATCTTGTGGGTGTAATCATAGGAAATGGTCTGCATTTTATAGCTCTTTTCAGAATTTGACCACTTCAGTCACATTCACTCATTCACACATGGAGTCACAGTTTAGGGACAGCTTGAAGTTTGGCGTCTCGCCCAAAGACACTTTGACATTTGGTTCAGAGAAGCTGGGATTGAACCACCGCCCTTCCAAAAGGCAGATGACTGCTCTTGCTCCAAGCCGTAGCTTCCTGGATGTGTTTGTATGTATTAACTCCAACAGCATTTCTGTTTCATAGTGTGAATGTTTATGAAGCGTTCACTCACACTATTGTGATCCAGTTTTCTTCCGTACGCTTTTCTGCGCGATTCTCGTCCCGCAGTTTTGAGGTTATTTCAACAAATCATACATCAAAACATTCAGCTCTTTCTTTCCTGCTATGACTTTTGGTATTGGCGCAACTTTGGCTTTTTGAAATATTTAGCCTTTTCTGACATTTTTTTCCTCATAGAAAATGAACTGAGCTCATTTTACATCTTTCAAATCTTTAGATCTGTTTACAACCTTTTACTGCTCCTTTCACATTTTGTTCTGGTTCAGTTTCTTTCAGCTTCCTTATGCAAATTTAAACATTTTCAGCTACATTTAGCTCATTTCAGCTGTTTTTTTTTCAGCTGTTTTGTGCTTCTTTCAGATGCTTTCTTCTAACTAGAACATTTTTATGCTTCTTCTAACGGCTTTCTGCTTATTTCAGCTTGTTGTGCTTCTTTCAGCTTATGTATGCTAGTTTCAGTTATTTCAGCTACTGTTTAGTTGTTTTTATGCCAATTTTAGCTATTTCAACTAATTCTGCATTTTTTGCACTCGTTTCAACTTTTTTCAACCTAACTGGGCAAAATCATGCTCTCTTCACTTCCTCCTGGTAATTTAAGCTTCTTTTGGCTTTTAAGCTACTTTTGAGCTGGTTTATGCTAATTTTAGCGTTTTTCAACTAATTCTGCATTTTTTGCACTCATTTAAACTTTTTTCAGCCTAAATGGGCAAAATTGTGCTCTCTTACCTTCCTTCTAGTAATTGAAGCTTCTTTTGGCTTTTTATCTACTTTTTAGCTGTTTTGTTTTTTGCTAATTTCAGCTTTTTTTCAGATAGTTTCAACTTTTCTGTGCTCATTTCTGCTTCTTTCAATCTAACTGGGCAAACGTGTTTTATGCTTTCTTCTGCTAATTTAAGCTTGTTTTACCTTTTCAGTTACATTTTTAGCATTTTTTTAAACTAGTTTCAGCTGTTTTTAGGTAAATTTAATTTTTTTGTGGTAATTTCTGCTACTTTCAGACTAATTAACTTATTTCTGCTAATTTCAGCTCATGCTCCTTTTATCTTAGTTATGCTAGTTCTAGCTGTTTTATGCTAATTTTAACTTTTTCAACTAATTCCACTTTTTTTTTCCATCTCATTTCAGCGCTTCACACTTCCTTCTGAGCTTTTTTCTGCCTTTCTGCTTCTTTTCAGCCATTTTTTTGTTGCTAATTTCAGCTTTTTTAGCTAATTTCCTATTTTTTGTACTCCTTTCTGCTTATTTCAAAGTCAAAGATTCTTTATTTGTCATATGCACCACATGTGCATGTGGTGGAACAAAATTGTGTACACAGGGTCCCAGTCCCAGGGTCCCATGTAGAAGAAAAACTGTAATAAGATCTAAGATATGAACTAAGAAAAACATTAACTAAAAATATGCTAAGCACTAGTAGTATAAAAACAATACGTCATACAGTGTATTATTTAAACCTAATTCAGCAAATATGTGTTCTTTCTGCATCTGCTAAGTTAGGCTTGTTCTTCCACTTCAGCTACATTATAGCATTTTTTAGCTAATTTTAGCTGTTTCTTAGCAAGTTCTTCACTAAGTATTCGCACTGCATTTTTGTAGGAAATGCAATTTTTCTAGTTTTACATTAATCTCCCTCTCACTCACAAAGCGTCATTAACATATTTTGCCATAATTGGTCTTTTATTTTCCAGATCCTCTATTTTTTGTTCTACCATCCACATCCACAGCCCATCTACTGTCACATTATCATGATCACTTTGTTTTATGTACCATTCTGATCTTTTCATTCCATTTTTTTTTTGTCTAAAGCATGTTTTGTTTTCTCAACATTACAGGTCACTTTTCACCCTGGAAGACTCCAAAGCAGGTAACATCCATCAGCCTCAAAAAAACAGGATTATCCCCAGTTCTGCTTTGACGTCTTGACTTTAGTGCCTTGGCTGTTGTGTGCAAACTGCGTGTGGCTTTCTAACTCCTTTGTAAAAATGCAAACATAAAATAAAAACTTTTCTACACTTGTTTTTCTGCCACACTAACGCTACAGTTGACCTGCTTTATGTCTGCTGCTTTTACAACAGCTGGTTTTCCATGCTCAGACTTCTTTATTGTTACGAGAGGGCACAAAGTCCAAGCGTTTCTCTTACGGCATTAATACACTTTGATTCTGCGAGTCAGGCTTGATTCACAGCCTGACTCAGCCCCATTAGGGAATCTCCATTATTCTATTACAGCTACAGTGCTGCTTATCCATCTGTGATCAGTCTGCTTTGGCGCGGCCCAGGTTTTTATCTTTCATTTATCTTCATTTCATAACATTTCTGTTTTTACAAAAAGCTCTTCTGCACTTTTAAATCATTCATTTGCTGATTTGTAATTTGGCTTATCTGTATTCCAATTTTTTTCCCCATAAAAGCTCAATTCTTCATGTGTCGCCTTACATCATTCTTTAGCTTTAATATCGTTTTCTGCCCCTAATGTCACAAACAACTCCATCCAGATAACCCTCTTAGATCAAATGCACTTCTGCCCTTCAGATGTGTTTGTTACGCTCACACGCCTTCACACGGCTGCTCCAGACCATCGTTCTTTGTCTCACGGAGAGCGAACGTGTGCGTATACTACATTTCATGCCCTGGTATCCTGCCAACACTGCTGTGACCAGTCTGTGAACCTGGATCATTTAGTCCCCCATTCCAGGGCCAAACTAACAAGAGTTCCTAAAATCCCTTCATCGTGTGTCTTTCCTCTATACCTCTCACATCCATCTGACATAATGACTCAAACTTCACTCGGAGTGCAGAGCATCTCTTGTTTTGTCTCCTCGTCTTCGTTTCTTAACCGCCCAGATGTCATATCCTGCCACACACAGACACACACCAGCGTTCAGCCTGCTTAATTAGGCGTCATTTATTACGGGAAGGCTTCCACGGCTCAAAGAATGAAATATGGAGTGATTCATCTAACCGTGTAAGAGCAGGGAATCACCTAATGCAGACTTGCAGTGCAGCAGAGTCTCAGCTCGCAGCTCATCCAGTCAGTGAAGTAACAGCTACTCAGCGCTGCATAAAAGGTGGTTGTATTGATTGATGCCGTCTGGAAAAAGGCAACGCTTTTATCCTGACCAACGGTCTGCAAAGCCTAGAAAGAAGAGAAATCAGGATGCTTCACATCAGTGGCAGACACATCTGAAAGCACAAAGGATGGGGACACTTTATTCACAGCTTCCCCGAGGCCTATTTTTATTCTTAGTACGTCTTGAACCCGATGTCCCGTACACCTCTGCAATAAACTTGTGGCATATGCAGCCAGACTCACCGTCTCACTTTCAGGAAGCTTCCTGCTCCCTCCAGATCACCTCTGACGCTTATCGAAGCGTCGTCTCAGCTTCATGTCCGTGGCTTATCAGACGAATCAAAGACTGTTATCAAAACCATTGCTGCCGCAACTCTGAGCATTTTCTGTATGTTTTTAAATCCACCTCAAAACTTTATACTCTTGTACACCACTTTTCTCCCATTTTAACTATCGTTTTACTAACTTCTTGCTTGAATTAATGGTTTTCTAGAGCTCTGCTCTTCTAACGGCAATGATCACATCACAGCAGAATGGTCAAGCTTTGGATCTCAGAGAAGTTGAGCTCTAGATATGATGCTAAATTTATCTGCTTTGACTTGACCCCCAAAGTGAAATTTCATTATTACTCACAATCTAGAGCAGCAATTGAGATGTATATCCAAAAATAAATCTTGTTCTCCAAGTCCTAGTACAGGGCTGTTCAACTGGCGGCCCGTGGGCCTGATTTAGCCCACGAGTGAGCTCATTTAGGCCCACCAGTGGGTTCATTCTTAGATAAAACTAGATTTTAAGCCATAAAACAACCTTACTTAATGACAATAACTGCTGGATGTCCAACCCCTGAGCTCTTGGCTTTCAGTACTTGTGGCCCCCTACGCAAGTTAGTTGACTAGCCCTGTTCTAGTACTAGTTAATGGGTTAAAGTTTAGTTGGAACTGTGACCAGCCTTTACAAGACACATTATTGTTTTATCTATGTTGGTTAAGTATGTACAAGTATGGCCAATTGATGATTTTGTTTAAAGTGGCTAATATTGGTCAATTAAAATAGACTGGGCAATTATTCCGTCTATTTCTCTTTCAGTTAGAATGTATTTGTACACATACCTCAGAGCACTGAGTAGTAGAATACAGTAACTGAGAAAGTAATTCACATAATGTTGTGTTATAAACCCTATCAAACATTAAAGTCAGACAAAAATATGAAAACTAAAATGTGTGCTGACTATTATACACTGCCTGGCCAAAAAAAAAGTTGCCACCTGGATTTAACCAAGCAAATAGGTACGAGCCTCCTATTGGATAATTACTGCATGGGTGCTTATCTTTCAGCTGGCAACAAGTTATTTAACACCAAGTGGTGCAATGAGTTGCTTCGCATTTCTTAAACAACCATATTGAAAGACACATTGTGCGGTCGTGGAAAAGATGTCAGTCTGATTGAGAAGGGTCAAATCATTGGCATCAAGCAGAGAAAACATCTAAGGAGATTGCAGAAACTACCAAAATTGGGTTAAGAACTGTCCAACGCATTATTAAAAACTGGAAGGATAGTGGGGACCCATCGTCTTCGCGGATAAAATGTGGCTGGAAAAAAGGGGCCTACTGTACAAGCGTGTGGGGGCAGTGCTATGGTCTGGGGTTGCTGCAGTTGGTCAGGTCTAGGTTCAGCAACAGTATGTGCTCAAAGAATGAGGTCAGCTGACTACCTGAATGTACTGAATGACCAGGTTATTTCATCAATGGATTTTTTCTTCCCTGATGGCACGGGCATATCCCAAGATGACAATGCCAGGATTCATCGAGCTCGAAAGAGTGGTTCTGGGAGCACGAGATATAATTTTCACACATGGAGTGGCCACCACAGAGTCCACACTTTAACCCCATTGAGAATCTTTTGTGATGTGTTGGAGAAGGCTTGGCACAGTGGTCAGAATCTGCCATCATCAGTGCAAGATCTTGGTGAAAAATTAATGCAACACTGGATGGAAATAGATCTTGTAACACTGCAGAAGCTTATCGAAACAATGCCACAGCGACTGCATGCCGTAATCAAAGCTAAAGGTAGTCTAACGAAATATTAGTGTGACCCTTTTTTTTGGTGGCGACTTTTTTTTTGAGCCAGGCAGTGCCGTTCAAAGAGAGAAGCCAGAATATGCCAAGAAATCAGAATCTACCGGTCAGAGTTAAAAAAAATAAAAATAAAATCAGAAATCAAACCCTGTTTGGAAAAATAATCATTTAAAACTAATGTTTATAACGCCAAGGCACATTTTCTATACTCTTGGATTAGTGATGAATGTCTTTCTCTCTACACCAGTTAGCCAAATATTACATTAAATATTGTATAACTCCCTCTGAGTGCACGAATACAGGACCTTTAGGGGTGAATTGAGATGTTTGCAGTGGTTAATGCAGGTTTCCAGGACCTGGATTCAAGCTTTTCTTCTGCGCCATGTTAGAATGACATCTAAACATCAAGGCTGACAGCACAGCTTCAAGCTGGACTGAGCTGATTTTACGGTGTGAAAAAAGAATGTCAGGGGTCGGTGTTTCTCAGTTTTCGAACATGGAAGGTTTATACCTACTGTTTTATAAACGCAACTGCTTTATAAAACAGGTCTAACATTATTGTACCAAGCTGCTACACGAATCGTTTGCTGACGATGGCATTGACTTGTTGCTTTTGTCAAAGCTGAGTGATAAATCAGCTGCTTTTGTTCTGAAGCTCGTGCTGTGTGAGTGTTCAAAGCTTGACGAGTCTTGCTTCTTCAAAGCAGCGGAGGTTCATGAACGGTCAAATCTCTCTGCTTCACTTTTTCCACTCTTTTCACCATGGTAACCGAGCTAACGTCGAGCATCAGAGTTGGGGAAAAGGCGGAAAGTGACGTACTGACCCCCTGATGCCGATGTGCGTTGCAGGTGCTGGAGCAGTGGGAGTCCCAGCAGGGCCCGGGCTGCCCCGCTCAGACCAGCCTGTCCGCTCCTGTCCCCCCCTACAGCTCTCCTTTCCCAACACACCATCTTCACGGGGCCTCGGTCCCAGACTCAGCCTGCGAGGCCTTGGCTAAACCAGATCCCTATGAGCTATTTGAGAAGTCCATGGCTATCTATGAGAGTAGGCGTAAGTACCACAGCTGTCTGCAGGTGAAAGCACACACATATCAGTCTGTATGGAGCAGGGTGGACTCCTCAATCTTTGGCTTTTCGTTTTTTTAACTCCAGCAGCGTGAGTGAATCTGTGCTCACGTTTAAAAGCTGCCTCTGGTCGTACACATAAAAGAAACACAAACTACTTGACAGGTTTTCTAACAGACTCTTTGCATCCAGACTATAAAATTCATCCATCTCTCATCATAAACACTCCACACACAGCTGATGATCTTTTTACACTTCAGGCAACAATAATCTCTCCACCATGAAAAGTAATGATTTTTCTTTTTTTATAGTATCATCAGAATACATCACAGTTTTGTCCTATGGTAATTTTAAACCATAAAGCTAGTATAGATTGTGTTTTTATGTGTTTTATGTAAATGCACGGCCTGGATTTCAGACAGACAGACATCATTAGTCTTCATCGAGGAGAAGGTGTGGAAGGAGACATAAGAACCTGTGGAAGACGTGGATGAAGCAGCTGACTGAATTCTCAAGAGAGATACCTGCTGTGTTCACACGTTGTTTCATTCTGACATTTCTCTGACGTCCAACTGTGTGCACGTCTGGGTAAACCGCACAAGAAAGCTAGAGTTGGATATTTTCATCCTCGTATGCAGCCCCGCAGGAAATTTCAAGGCTGCAGTGTTAAAAAGGCGTGAACTAAAGGGTTTAAATGTGAAAACGTGACGATCCTACCGTCATCCTGTACCTCTATGTGTGCACTTTAACTTGTTTATTTTTTAAATATATGCGCACGAAGCCACTGAAAGTTGCACTTTTTCCCTCCTGTGTAGGTGGACGTCAAGTTTTGTTGCATGAACGTGTTCCAGTTGTCTTTTTTTTTTATATAGTTCATGTATGTTTTCTAATGAAGCACTAAAGTTTTATAACAAACGCTGTTGACCCTGATATTTAGGACCACATGCTTGTGCGAAACTCCTTCCTGACTCTTTAGTTTTGATAATGCAGGGATGCTGTTCCTTTCTGTTTTGGGCCAGACGTTGGGTCTTATCAGACTCATGAAAGAAAAGGCTCGGACAGAATTTAGGAACGCTCCAGTTGTTCCTCCCACTAGTGAAGATGAAGCTGGTTGTGACCTTTTAATACGTCGTCACACCACGACTATGTTCTCACAGTAGTGGCTGCGAGTGAACTCATTGTATTACAGGGTCTAAAGCACATCTACGGTAATAACTTCACTTTATTTGTCTTCAATAAGATTGTCCTCAGTAGGTTTTGTGAACTTTGCAAAGTTAAAAGGACTTTCTGAAGAAAAATGGTCCTATTTCTTGTGTTTTCAATGTAATTGTTTTGTAATAATCCAAACGTAATGTAATTAAGGCATGCATTAATTTCTCAAACTCATTTAATTCATTATAAACCTTAACGGTACTGAGGATCATGTGTTGGAATAAGCTCGTCTTGACAATCTGTTGGTTGAATTTAAAGCTACTTTAAAGGTCACGCCAAGATGTATTGTAAGAAGTGACAAAAGGAATCTAACAAGCCAGTAATACAACTTGAACCATGATTTCTGTTTTGGTTTTGTTCAGATTAAGGTATTTTGTTTTTATCTGTGTTCATCTTTGAGATGATTTAACAAGACCTACTGTAAATAGCTACATAACTCAAATGAGCCTAAAAGTTAAAAAAAAAAGCATCAGCAAAACAGTGTAAGACATTCTAGCAAGGTTAAGTCAGGTCCTTTGGACACATTCTTTTTTGTTGAAACGTTTCATCTTTTATCCAAAAGACTTCTTCACTCTGAGACCCTGCAGTAAACTCAGTCTTATAAATAGCACCACTGTAAGACAGTTTATATA